ACCACCATTTCTGACAGAAGCTAGCTCACCATTAAATAATGGTCCAAAACTAATGTGCAAAAAAATAGAACAGTCACTCTGAGCCCCACTGGTCCCATGGAAAGCCCTGGGACGTGTCTGGGAAACTGAAGGTCAGGCGGGGGTCTCTGTAGACTCAATTCCAAGCCCAGTCTTCAGCTGGTATGGAGCTAGGGCCCCTACATGTGGGTTCCAGCCCAGTGACACCGTGTCACTAAACATGCCCAGTACTCAGTGGAGACGTGGAAAGTATGTGGTAAAACACACCCAGTCTTTCAAATATTTTATTAGGCTATGCTCAAAGATAGGTGTCCTGTAAATCAAGAATTCATATTTTTAAAGAAATTTTTTTCCTAGAGACAGGGTTTTGCCATGTTGCCTAGGCTGTTCTTGAACATGTGGCCTCAAGCAGTCCTCCTGCCTTGGCCTCTCAAAGTGCTGGGATTATAGGCATGAGCCACTCGCACCTGGCCCCATAGTTTCAATTAAAAAGTATAGGATTACAGACATGAACATAAAGGTAGTTTCAGCCTTTAACCAGTGCAGGTATTTGTGTGTGTGTGTGTGTGTGTGTGTGTGTGTGCGCGCGCGCGTGCGCATGTGCGCACACGCGCACGCACGTTCACTAAGATGATACGTGGATCTCTTTCCTTTCTCTGCAGCCAGTCGCTATTTCTGCCCGTTCAGGGCAAGAAATGCCCCCTGCCGGCAGGCATGGAGCCAGCAAGGAAGAACCAGACTTCAGCGGCAGCATCCTGAGTGGTGGGTACCCCGGCTCGGCCCCCGTTCAGCACAACTTCAGCATTAATTCTGTTGCCAGCACCTATTCTGAGTTTGCGGTAATTCACCTTTTCTAATATCTACCAGTCTCTGGGGAGCACACAGTTGGAGCAGAGTGGGTATCTTCCCAGGGGCATCCAGGCTGTTAGCTAGGTCAGCTACCTTGGAGGCTGAGAATCCCTTTCCTGCTTTGACCATGGCAGGGTGGGTGTGATTTAAAGGGGGCGGTATATAGGAAGGAAGCTGGCAGCAGCAACTAGACATTTAACCTGGATCCTTCTGTTTTATGTATATATATATGTGTATATTTTATATATATTTATATATATATATTTATATTTATGTATATATATTTTTATATATTTATATATATTTATATATATATATTTATATTTATGTATATATATTTTTATATATTTATATATATTTATATATTTATATATATTTATATATATATAAATATATATAAATATATAAATATATAAATATATATATATATACACACACCATTTCCTGGCTGTGGGAGGTGACCCCTTTGTCACTGCCCTGGTGCTCTCTTGGTGGAGTTCTTGGTAACTGTCTTAATTCTTTGTTCTTAGAAGGATCCATCCCCCTCTGACAGTTCCACTGTTGGGCTTCAGGTCTGTATGGCAACCCCTGCATGTCCCATGTCCCTTTCCAAACTCATCTGTCATCTGCTGGCTTCATTCATCTGGGCATAGGGCTACACTAACCAGTCATCTCGGCTGTGTTTCAAAGGAAGCAGGAATTCCTCTCATGGACTCAAAAAACACATCTGACTTACATTCATTACAGATTAGCCTAATGACTAATAAGAAAACTTGTCAGACTTGAATTGGATTCTCAGCCTCTAATGTCAGGCAGTTTTTAAAAATCATGTTTAACAGAAAGCCTTGACCCTCCCCAGTTGTGACCTCAAAGGCCTGCAAGAGCTGGAAGGAATAGAGGCCCCATCACGCGGAGAGGGGAGCCCCAGCTGTGTGCTGCCGACAGTGAGGCTCTTGGCCTGTGTGCTGATTATTTCCCGGAGTATATGCCTTCTTAACCCCTCAGGGCTCAATCGCCAGCTCTGTCTCCTCTCAGCTAGCTAATGCTGATTTCCTCACCTTTGCCTCTTTCCATTGAGCTATTGACCCATAGATAAAGATAAAGCACTGGAAAAAAGGTTTTCCAGAATGCTCTTCACTTTCTAGTATCCTACTCTACATTTGCTAACACCTAACAACAATGCCTTTTACTGAATCTGTGTTCTCTTCTCTCAATATTTTACTAGGGAGAGCTGAGGCTGTCCCTTACCGTTGAGGGGATATTGAGTGAAACCCTAGCCTGCCTCCTCTCCTGATGGCCGCAGAGATGGAGAATAGAACCGGCCGGCCAAAGCTGTGGCTGGTTTTGATCACTGAAACTGGCTTCCTACTCTGGCATGTTTTTAAATTATGTGGCTGGTGGTGCTTCCACCTATAAAAGTGGGTGTGTGTCACTCTGGCCAACGGATTGCTGGACAGAGGTCCAGCTTTCTCTTTCTGCTTGTTCACCCAAGGCCCATTTGATCTATTTGAGGCTGAAGTCCCTGCCTATCTCTGTGGCCAGTCCTAGGCAGGTTCATCTGGTTTGGTTGCTAAAGCTGATAGACTCCACCAGGCAGCACCAAAGCCACTCAACTAACCTCTGTGCTAACGTCTTTCTCAACGGCCGTTCGTGTTTATCTTTTGCTGCTTTACCATGTGCTCCAGCATGAGATCAAATCACCAGCAGGTTACAAGGCCCTCAGCCCCAGGGATTGGTAGATATATGTTGTGGCCCATTGTTTTATAAAGGGCTCAAGAGATTAAAGTTTGTTGCCTACTTACCTTGACAACTCTAATGTAGCTTTGTGAAGTACAGTCATGTGTCCATGACAGGGATATATTCTGAGAATGAAATTGCCCCACCCATGGTACACATTTCATAGAGTATACTTAACAGTCCTAGACAGTACAGCCTACACACCTAGACTATGTGGGATGGTGTTTTCCTCCCGGGCTGCAAACCTGTGCAGCATGTTACAGAATACTGTAGGCAATTGTGGGTTTTGATTCAGGCTATTCGTGGGATATTGTAGGCAGTTGTAACACAGTGGTAAGTATCTGTGTATCCAAACATAGAAAAGTTACAGTAAAAATATGGCATAATCTTAGGGGACCACCATGGTGTATGTGGCCTGTCATTAACTGTCATTATGCCGTGCACGACCGTATGAAGGATTTCTCTTATGTGAGGTGTAACAGAATGGACTGGCTGAGGAAAGAGGTCACGGGCATGGGTGCATGTGCGCTCTATGACTAACAGAATGGTGCTCCTAATGCAACCTATGCCGCGCTAGGGATCTCAGAGAAACTGCCTTCAGGGGACCTTTTGCTGACACTTACCCATACTTAGAAGGGCGGGGCATGTGTGATAGAGGCAGTATTGCCACTGATGTTATTTATTTTTCAACAGCGAGAACTTTCAAAGGCTTCCAAATCTGACGCTACTTCTGGAATCCTCAATTCAACCAACATCCAGTCCTAAGGCCCTGAGCAGTCAACCAGCTGTGGCTTCCTGTGCCTAGACTGGACCTCATTTTATGGGGGAGGCTTTAGTTTTTCTTGAGCTTAGGTGTGCTCAAAACCCTAGCCTTGGACAGGCTCCATGACCATGGGCCTATTAGAGATATAAAGAGTGTTACAGATGAACGTCCACCACAGGTTTAGTGGTCCTAGGAGACTTAGTTTTGACTTTAAAAGTTTATGGCAGAAAGTACAAATTTTAGCATGTGGGGCCTGACTTCTTTACCACATAATAATTCTACTTCCTGAAGTGTGATCAAAAGCTTGTTTTATTTCACCACTGTGTAGGAAAATTAACTGTGCCCATCCCTAGGGTAATTTTGGCTTGTGTACTTATAATGAGTATTAACATCTTTTTTGTTTAGGGATGTTCAATTAATGCTGTAGCTATCAGCTTTGCTCTTACCTGAAAGCTTGTCCCCATCACACAGGACAGCCTTCCTCCTGATGAGAATGGCCGTGTGTGTCCAAAGTTGAGATGGCCTGCCCTACTACTGCCAAAGAGGTGACAGGAAGGTGGGAGCTGCCTTGTTAGATTGTGTTCAGTTCTGTTGCGCAGTGCAACGCCCTTTGTTGGCGGTATGTATGTGTGAACACACGTGCTCGTTGGAACTCTCCTCAGCATTTGTCCCTGGCTCCAGTCTCCCCATTCCTGTGCCTGCTATGCCTGAGTTCTTCTACCCCTGCAGTTGCCAGCCACATCGGGAGGCTGGCTGTTCCGATGGGTTGGGCTATCTTTGTCATCGAGATCTGGAACTTTGCACATGTCACTACGAGGGAGTTGTTTCTACTCTAGCATCTACGATGAGGTGCCCTCTTTACCAACCCTCTCAGTCACTACTCTTCCTGAAGCACTATTATTTATTCTTCCTCTGTCTGCCTGAACCAGTACTACTGTCAACATAGTGTAAATGGTTCTCAAAAGCTTACCAGTGTGGACTTGGTCGGTCACAGCCATGCTGTTTACTCATACGTGTATGTGTCCTGTTTTTAAAATATAAAATTATTCTTAAAAATAAATTGTAAGTATACAGATTTTAATTTCAAAAAGATACAGTGCGGTGTTTCATTTTTTTCCCCCAGTCACTTTTTCGTTGGTCTGTGTGTGAAAACCAGAAACAGAAAAGACTAAAAGGATCTCCCAGAAGTTTTTAGTCACGAGTGTCAATTTTTTTGAATCTCACTGTCACTCAGGCTGGAGGTGCAGTGACACTATCTATCTTGGCTCAGTGCAACCTCCACTTCCCAGGTTCAGGTGATTCTCCTGCCTCAGCTTTCCGAGTTGCTGGGATTACAGGTGCCCACCACCATGACACCTGGCTAATTTTTGTGTTTTTGGCAGAGAAGGGGTTTCACCATGTTGGCCAGGCTGGTCTTGAATTCCTGACATGAGGTGATCTGCCCGCCTTGGCCTCCCAAAGTGCTGGGATGACATGTAAGCCACTGCACCCAGCCAAGTGTGACTTAATCTTTTCTGGTACATTCCTAAATTAAAAATACCCTATTCTCAGAAGTTGCTGTGGGAAATAAAAAATCTAACCGCTAAGGTGTAAAGAGCAGAGGGAGTCCTAGGAAGCTTCTGGCTTCAATGTCTGTTGTCTCAATGGGGGAGTCAACAGTGTTACTGAGGGAGGATGGACAGAAACTGTACACCTGTGAGGGCTAAAACAGAAAAACCACCACAGCCAAGTCACCAAGCATCTCCAGCCCAGAACTTTCCTCCCAGTCGTTTCTTATTCCTCCTGCCCAGCCTCGCCCTGCCTAGCAATCACTGACTTCTTGCTGTTACTATAGATTAGTTTGCATTTCCTGCAGTTTTATGTAAGTAGAATCACACAGCACATACTTTTTTGGTCTCGCTCTTTCACTACTTTGAGGTTGACCCATACTGTTTCTTATACCCACACAGCTGGTTAACATCATGACTGAAATGGGATTTCTCCTCCAGATTCCAGTCCCCAAGATATCTGTCCTTACAGTGTAGGTTTTTAAATATTTTTTTGTTTTTTCTTTTTTTTTGCTTAGTATTCCATGGTGTAGATACACCATTTTTTTCATCTGTGAGATTTTTCACATTTGGCTTTTCTCCAGTTTTTGGCTATTAAAAACAAGGCTGCTATACATATTCATATACAAGTCTTTCTATGTATATATGTTTTTCTTCTGGATAAATACCTTGGAGTGAAGCTGCTGGATCACATCTATGGTAGGTATACAGTTAACTTTTTAAGAAATGCCAAGCTGGGCCAGGTACGGTGGCTCACACCTGTCATCCCAGCACTTTGAGAGGCTGAGGTGGGAAGATCGCCAGGTCAGGAGTACGAGACCAGCCTGGCCAACATGGTGAAACCCCGTCTCTCCTAAAAATACAAAAATTAGCTGGGCATAGTGGCATGTGCCTGTAATCCCAGCTACTCAGGAGGCTGAAACAGAACTGCCTGAACTCAGGAGGGGGAGGTTGCAGTGAGCCGAGATTATGCCATTGCACTCCAGCCTGAGTGACAGAGTGAGACTCAATCTCAAAAAAAAAAAAAGCCAAACTTTTCCAAAGCAGTACCATTTTACACTCCCAGCAGTAATGTTTGAAGGTTTTGGTTTCTCCACGTCTTCACCAACAGCTGGTATGTTCAGCCTTTGTATAATTCTAGTTACTCTGTGTATGAAGTGGTGTCTCACTGGTTTTCGTTTACAACTCCCTAATGCCTAATGACATAGGCCTTCTTTTCATATGCTTAGTTGCCATCCTTCTGTCGTCTTTGTTAACTTTTGCCCATTTTAAAAAGTGTCTTGGCCGGGCATGATGGCTTATGCCTATATTCCTAGTACTTTGGGAGGCTAAGTCAAGTGGATCGCTTGAGCCCAGGAGTTCAAGACTAGCGGCCGGGCGCGGTGGCTCACGCCTGTAATCCCAGCACTTTGGGAGGCCGAGGCTGGTGGATCACGAGGTCAAGAGATCGAGACCATCCTGGTCAACATGGTAAAACCCCGTCTCTACTAAAAATACAAAAAATCAGCTGGGCATGGTGGCGCGTGCCTGTAACCCCAGCTACTCAGGAGGCTGAGGCAGGAGAATTGCCTGAACCCAGGAGGCGGAGGTTGCAGTGAGCCAAGATCGCGCCATTGCACTCCAGCCTGGGCAACAAGAGCAAAACTCCGTCTCAAAAAAAAAAAAAAAAGACTAGCCTGGGCAACATGACAGAACCCCATCTCTACTAAAAATACAAAAATTAGAAGTGGTAGCATGTGCCTGTAGTCCCAGCTACTCGGGACGATCGCTTGAGCCCAGGAGGGGGAGGGTGCAGTGAGCCAAGATCACAAGTGCACTCCAGCCTGGGCAGCAGAGGGACCCTGCAAAAAAAAAAAAAAAGAAAAAAAAGCCTACAATGAAATAGCACTTCACATCCATTAGGATAGCTACTAACCAAAAAATAGAAAACAAGTGTTGACATGGATGTGGAGAAAATAGGATCTGTGTGCACTTCTAGTGGGAATGTAAAATGAGGCGGCCCTCTGTGGAAAACCGTAGGGCAGTTCCTCAAAAAATTATACAGAATTACCACATGACCAAGCAATTCCGCTCTGGGTCTATATCCAAAAGAACGGAAGCAGAGAATCAGAGTTGTACACCCACGTTCACAGCAGCACTATTCACTGTAGCTCTACTTACTTATCCACCAATGCACAGATGGACGAATACAACGCGGTGCATACATTTAATAGAATCATAGCCTTCAAAAGGCAGGAAGTCCAGATACATAAGCTACATCATGGATGAACTTGCAGGACATGCTGCTAGGTGAAATAAGCCAATCATGAAAAGACAAATACTATGGGATTCCACTTACATAAAGCACATAGGGTAGTCAGAGTCACAGAAACAGAAGGTAGAATGGCGGCTGCCAGGAGCTGGGAAAGGGAGTGGGGAGTTCAGTGTTTAATGTGCAGTTTCACCATGGAATGAAAAAGTTATTCAAACGCATAAGGGTGATGGCTACACAAGAGGAATGGATATGTCACTCAACCCTATCCTTAAAAATGGTTAAAATAATTTTTCTATTTTTATTGAACATAAATTTTATGTTCAGTATATTTTACCACAATAAAAAAAAGCTAAAAGACCCCGTGGGTGGGAAATATTTCCTAAACCACACACACATGCACAAATGTAAATTAACCATAAAGAATTAATATTGTATCAAAATAAGCTGACATTTGTAAAGCACTTTGAGGCTTACCTGGCATGCAGCAAGCACCATCTAAGCGTTAAATAAAAATTGATAACACCCAGAGAAACTGAAAAAACAAACTACATGA